TGCAATAACTTTCCTGTTTACCACCAGTGGAAGGGAAGAGAATCATGTCTCGCTGCTACATTGGTTGTTTGTCTGTTCTTGACTTCTAGTTTGATCCATCATCTGAGAAAAAAAAAAAAAAGAGTCACTACTCATCTCACCTGGTATCTGAGACAGTGACAATGGCAAAGGGTTCACAAGGCAGTCAGCTCCCAGTGAGCAAGCAAACTGGAGGAAAACGAAAGACCACACAAGGCCTGTCAGAGAAGGGTGCCCTCCGTCCAAGATTCCTGCAAGTCCACTTTCTCTTCCCCTCCCCGCTCTGCTGAGGGGTCACTCCACCTGTCCCATGGTGTTAAGGGTTGGCACCACTGGAAAAGGTCAGAAACATGGAAGATGTGGAATGAATCATGAGGCAAAGGCGATTGCACATGTGCTGTGCTCCCCAGCAGCCATTTCCTGAGGTCTACTGCTCATGACCAGCCCGTGTGGAGTGCCCACTTAAAAAATACTCTAGACAGATGAGCAAACTGAAACAAACATCGTATCTTACAGTGACTACCACTGTAAAGGTAAACTAGTGAGAATTACTCCTCCCTGGAAAAATCACCAACCATCTTCTTCATGCTGCTGGAAGAAAACTTTGTTATTTAGGAAACTCGTCATCAACCGTTTCACATTATGAAAGTGGGATGAGCCATTCTCAGAGCACAGCCAAGCAAAATGAAGCAACTCTAACTTACTGGAAACAAGTTATTTTTGTAAAATATATCCAACATCAAGTCAGTTTTTCAAAACTCTAAGTCATATCTCAAGCCACAGAGGACAAATGACTTTTCCTCCCATTCCAATCAGTAAGAAAAACAAAACATACCATCAGACAACCAAAACCCTCACCTCAACTGGCACAAAAAATCATCCAAGACATATGAAAGGAATGCATCCACCTAACCTAGCCAGGTGCTGTCGGCTAGCTCCCAGAATCACCCGCCCTGTGCTGGTGGAACGGTCACCAGACCACACAATGGTCCTCCCTTATCTTTCTCTTCACTTCCCAAAGCTTCAGTTACTCAGGGTCAAGCACAGTCTGAAAATACTAACGGAAAACTCCAGAAGCGACTGTTTGGGCTCAGACCGCTGCTCTGCGCAGCCTGCTGGAATCCCCTGTGACCCCACGCCGTCCGGCCCAGGACATGAAGGGCCTCTTTGTACAATGACCCCTGCGGAGTTCCCTGCCTGCCTGTGCCAACAGTCAGAGAAAGACCATTCCATGTGACTCCTCCACAGTGAGCTCTACAATCGTGCGGGTTTATTGTTCTTGCTGTTAACCTCTTACTCTGGATTTATACATTACACTTTAGACTGGTATGTATGTAGAGGAGAAAAGATTAAGGGTGAGTACTACCTGTCGTTTCAGGCATTCACGGGGGGGGGGGGTCTTGAAATAGATGTCTCTTCAATCAGGGGAGGATGGCTGTATTAAGAGAATATCAGCTAAAAGCACACTGGTCAAAACTTTCACAGCCAGGCACTGGTTGCACACACCTGCAATGTCAGTACTGTGGAAGGCTGAGGCGGGAAGATCACAAGTTCAAGTTCCACCTGGGCAACTCTGCAAGACTCTGGGAGGCTGAGAACATAGCTCGGTGGGAGAGCACCCCTGGGTTCAGTGGCCAGTAACTCCCACCACCGGACAACAATGGCTACCTGTAGGCCTCCTGGTTATTAAGTTTGCTCATAAATAGAAACTTGAACTGCAAGTTTAATAAACATTTTAATGTAGTTTTTAGACTTTGATATTGCAAACTATTTTAAGGCACAGTTAGACATAAATTATATTTGAAATTAACCCATCTAAATGTTGACACCTTTTTCTTACCATTCAGGTGTCACAACCAACTTCTTATACTCCCTGTGGAGCAGGTGAGTATGGAAGAGGTCAGCCAGGCCGGTCACTTCCCCTTGCTCACTGCCATGGCTCTGTGGAGGTGACATCTGTCCCTTCCCTGCTCCAGGAGGAAATGCGAAGGGAGGCTCTCTGGACATGACAAGCACTGCTGTGCTCCAGCAAGAGCAGCCGAGGTCTGTTGCCATCACTACATAAAACACAGTGTTACTTCAAACAGTTGTTTGAGACGCAGAGATTAAAATTCTGTCAAATTGTCAGCATTTCAAATGTGAACTCTTGAAACAATGACACTATATGTTATTAGAAATTTAAGACGTACACTAGAGATCTTTCTAGTCACTTTCCAGACTCTCTTTAAATGTTTTAAAAACACTAGCTGAAAAACCAGTGGGGGAAAGTAGGGGGAAGAAAGCAAGGCAACTGCAGAAGTGGCTAACAGCACAGCAGAATCAGTCTAGAGCAGGGCCAGGTCCCCCAGGCAGACTGGAATGCAGGGCCCAATTCCCCAGCAGCCTTGTGGGCAAAGATGGCGATAGCCAGAATCTTGAGAAGTAGCAATGTCAGCACCAAAAATGGGTGAGAAGGAGCCCAAGGAGACATTTAAAAATCAAAATACTTTTTGAGAAAAAATGCCCTTCTTCCTATCAGAACGGGGAGATGGCCATATTGGTTTTTATCTGCTAAGACCAAAGCTGGTGAAAGAAGATGGAAAATAACACAGTCACCTAAATCATGAATCACCCCAAATATTAGGCAAAAGTTTAGTAAAAAGAAAGACAGATGAAACAAGCTCAGTGGAACTGAGGTAAATGAGGAGGAAAAGTGCCTGAGTGAGGAGCCTATGAAAGACCATCCCTGGAGCTGACCATGCTGACAGAAGTGAACCTAGGGCCATATGACCCTCAGGCAGCCTATCACTGCCTCCTTCCGCCTGCGCCACAATGACCATCTAACTCTTTACACAGAAAGCAGAGGCCACAGTCAGAGATTGTCGAGCATGGCCAGCCGCCCTGACTCCTGCTTGCTTACCCTGCACGACACTACACAGTGTACCCTGGAGTGCTGTCGCACCCCCAAACACACTTGTGTGCTCACCAATCACACCCATACTTCCTGGCTAAAGCTAGCAATGGTGTGAACAGTATGGGAAGTGGGGAGGGATGGACGCAGGGCCTATGAACACCGGGCCACCTGTTGGGGCTGGCGTCTAGCAAAGGGAGTCTGTCTCCTCGGACACAGGCATGGAGGATCCTTGTGGAGCTGCATCATGGACTACCTGTGCTCCACACTGCAAGCCTTGCCTCCTTTGCTCCCTTTCTCTTGGAAAACTGGGAAAAACAAAAAAACAAGCAATACTGAGCCCTTGGCCCAAAGCCCACCCATTCTGTGATGCAGCAATAGTCCTGGTCGAGACTCAGGACAGAAAACACACAGCAGGGAGAGAATATAATGGTATGAAAACTATACAATGACATGCCATTTTCCCCATTCCACAAGGCAAGCCAAACAAGCCACCCACTGAGGAAGGCAAAGGCCATACCTACTAAAGTCACAGTCCTGTATTAAAGAAAGCCAGTGCCGTCACTGAAGGGTCTCCCATAAGTGTGTGTGATATGAGACTACTTAGAGAAGATGCGAGACCAAAACATGCAGCTCACAGAAGAGATGGCAAGCCAGGAGACTGAAATGGAAAGTGAAATCAAGAGCTAGGACTAGAACAACCACCATTACAGAACTGACGAATTAGAGCACAGACAATATACACTGCTAAGACAGAAATCATGCTAAAGGCGGCCAGGCGTGAGGCATGTATGCCTGGAATCCCAGCTTCTTGAGAGGCTGGAGCAGGAGGATAGCAAATTCGAGGCCAGAGTGGGCACTTAGCAAAACCCTGGCTCAAAGTAAATTAAGGGGGGAGGGCTGCAGGTGTATCTCAGTACTTCCTGGGTTCAATCTTCAGCCTCCCCCGCCCCCTCCCTGGTAGTATATGCACAGGAAGAAGTCAGAAGCTAACTAAATAAATAGGAAAAAAACAGACATGGAAGACAAACAGCTACTTCCCAAGGGAAACTGCTGCTCTGTTCCTGAAGGGCAGCACCCTCAAGTCTCAGAAGCAGGAGGCAGGCAGTCCAGGGAGGGAAAGCATCTGAAAGGGAGGATGAATGCACAAGCTGGTCAGAGCCTGGCTGCGTGGCTGCTACCCTTGGCCCTGAGCTGTCCAGCTCCACGTCCTGGAGTTCTCACACACGAAGGTGCCAACCCCTCCCGTCAGCTCTGCTGGGCTGAGTTTTTTTGACACTGCAGCTGTCTCATCTCCTGACAAGCCTTCAGCCTAGTCTCACATGTACTCCCTTCTACCAGCCTCTTCTGACCGAGGCTTTACCAGGGCCTTTATTTTCTTATCCTTGACTCACTATTTCCTTCATCTCCAGTGCACATCACTGGCGAACTCTAAACCGTGCACTGATCACACCTGTGCCTTTTCTGATTCTATACTCAGGCAGCACAACATACCACAAAAAAACCCACCCAATCCATCAGAGGCACCACCCCGAGTTCCAGAGCAGCCTGGCAGGCAGCTCACCCTCACGCTCATGCAGATTGCCCCCGGGCCACCACAGGCCTCCTGGTCTGCACACAAGCCCCTGCCTCTCCTGTTGCTTCCACACAATGCAGGATCTTCCTGTCCCCCACTGTCGCAAACACGTATGCCTTCCCACTTCCTCGGATGGATCTCGCTGTGCCCTTCTTTATCTCTAGGCCACTGGGCTCAGAGGAAAGATGAATCCCTTCTGCTGTTCAAGACGACTCTGCTTGTGTCACCATCCCACGTTCTGCACTTTGCAATGCCGGCTGCGTCTACTCAGGGCCCTTTCTCCATGACTCTCCTCCTGCTTCCCTCCTTTCCACAGCGAAGACTCAAGGGTAACACCGGTCTGTAATGTTCTATAAGAAACCTGACGAGCAGAAGTGCAATGGTACAAATTAGTCTTTCAAGAAGGATTTCTGCTTCCTAGGCCGCCTAGCAGTACTGTCACACATTCCCATCTGAGGAAGTTGATTTCATAAAAGTGAAATCTCTGTGTCTATGTTGACGTTGTAATAGATCCATCATGATAACAAGACACATGAGAAGCGAGGCTGAAAAGGGATCTGTTTGGAGGAAGGAAAATACTAAACAGAGAATAGTTATTTGTTTTTTAATTTTAGCATATTTCTCCAGTAATTCTGAAATATATTCCCTCAAAACAGAGAATGATAAAAATAAGCAATTCTGTATAAAGCCAAGAAGAGTGTAGAAGTTTTTTCTGGTAAGGTTTGTCTCTATGAACGAGAGCCAGCAGCTGCCGCGCTGCACTGTCTGGGACGTGGGCGGGCCCTATGCTGGCCTGTGCTAGAGCCCACGGGCCACAAGCGGCCACCCCACCACTGCCAGCCCGGGAGGGTTTTCCAGGGCAGCTACATAGCTTTAGTCAGGACACAGAGTTTCAACGAGCAGTGCTCAGCTCTGAACTGCTCTTAGTACTTTCCTCCATTTGAGTTCGGGAATAAATGTAAACTACACTCTTGAGAAGCACTGAAACTCAGAAACACATTTGGTATCTTATTAGTTCTGTAAAGTACTGGATTATAAGAAAGAGGAAGGAAGGAAAAAGGCGGAAGAAACAATATCAATGAAGTAAAAACATGTAATTATCTGTGCTGAAAGTTTAAAAGAAAGGAAGAGGGAAGAAAGGAAAGCTGCAAAGAAAAAGGCATTACTCAAACTCAAACAAAGTTGTCATTTAAAAAAGAATGAAGTGCTGGATATGATGGCACAGGTAATCCCAGCACCTGAGAGGCTGAGGCAGAAGGATCACAAGTTCAAGTCCCACCTGGACAACTTAGCAAGATTCTATTTCAAAATATATAAAAAGTAGTTCAGCGATACAGCATCCTTGGGTTTGAAAGTATCACCAGGAGTGCAGCTAGCTAATAGCACCAGCAACATCCCCCGACCCACACATGCGAATGAAGACAGAGTTAGGCTCAGGATACAGAGAACAGGTGTCACCAGTACTTGAGGGTCTCCAATTGCAGGGCAGTGGCCTCTAGCCCCGTGCAAGCACATGCCTGCACCAGTCTGCAGGCAGAGGGCATATGGGCCAAGGCAAGTCATCTGGCTGTCCCAGGGCCCTTCCTGTACCAGTCAAGCTGCCTAACCACCTGCAGGGTGGGCCCAGAAGGTCCAAACCCTCTGGTAGAACCTGTCTAATGACTTGGCCATAGGTAATCAAAGAGAGTAACATACTTATACATTAAAAAAAAAACTCCTGTAAAACAAAAGAAAAACCCTAAGCAAAGCTAAAACAAAAAATGGCAATGAGAAAGAAAAATATTTACAACTGGAAAGAATTACAGATACAGAACTAAGTCTTAATGTATAACTTACTAAAAATTGAGACTAGCTGACTAAGGGCAGATACTATACATGGGTAATTAAAAATCTGTCTGCCCCCTAAACATAAGAACTACCAACTTTGCTAATAAAGAGAAGTGCAAATTATATAGACGCAAATGTCCCTGCTCATCTGCAGAGTAGCAACTATCCCAATATCTGGAGGTAGAGGCTAATGGGAAGCAGCGTGTTCCCACGCTGGGGATGGGTGTAGGGGGAGGTATACCTCAGAGAATCTAGACTCCGCTACTGTACTCTAGAAATCTGTACAGACAAATGAGTGAAAATGTCAAATGGCATGTGTAAGATATTTTCCACTGTGACATTATTTTAATGACAAAAGAAGGAAAAGAAGTCAAATGTCTACCAGTAAACAGGTTGAATGTTTTATAAGGTCTATACAAAGGAGAAGGGAAAAAAAGGAGGAAGACAGCTATAATGTAAAAATAAATGTGTTAGAATTATACAAACTGCTATCATATCTACCAATTGCTTACTATATGGCTTATATGACAGGTATTTGTTTACCTTTGTAAGGAAATGCCAAGCTGTTTCCTAAACTGTTTGTACCATTTTATATTCTATGTGCAATGGATAAAAATACAGATGCCCTACATCATGGCAACAGTTAGTACAGCCTTTGAAATGTTAGCCATTCTAATGGATATTTAGTAGTGGTTTGCTGTGCCTATAATCTGTAGTCTCCTAATGACTAATGGTGTTGGGTATCTTTGTATATGCTTATATGT